CTTCCGAAGTTAATATGTGTCTCCTTGAATCTTTGCACAAGCACACGGTGATCATCTTCCATTTCAAGGAGATGCATATTTATTTCTGAAGAGCTGCAGGTTGGCCACCCCTGTCTTAGGGTATGGACATGCAAAACTTACTGTGGGGGAAAGTAACACATGCTTTTACCTTCTGGTAAGTGGAAAATAAAGCGAGGTAGTTTAGACCTCAGTGGGCATGTCTACATAGTGCAAGTCAGCACTGTTCAGAGATACCTGAGGTAGCTTTGGGGTTGAAATGGACCTCATATGGTCATGTAGTCCAGCTCCCTGCTCTAGGCAAGATCATCCCTGATGAAACCATTCCAGTCAAGTGTTTGTCTAACTTGCTTTTGAAAATTTCCAGGGAAAAAGATGCCACCACTTCTCTAGGTAGCATGTTGCAATGCTTAATTACCTTCACAGTTCTTCATAATCTCCAACCTAAAATTCATGTGCTGCAATTTGAGGCCATTGATCTTAGTTCTGTCCCCTATGGTTCCTGACCCAGAAATAATATAGCTGTGTTTTGACTATTTATTTATATAATCTAATCTAGGTAATTACCTCTCCTTGATGGCACTGGATTTATGACCCAGATACTTTGCTCTGGGCGGACCCAAACTCTCAGACTGACCACAACCTTTCCATTCGATAATAGGCAAATTTTATTGATACACAGTGGTAGCAGATAAGAATAATGCAAACAATTCTGTATCTACCAGCCCCAGGCCTGGCATCAGAGGGAAGGTGCGTCTGGCCAGTACATGAGCTTCACTTTGAGGTTCTCTCTTAAATGTCAGATGTCAGCAGCCTGGAGGTTGGAGGCTGAGGCCCAACCTCCTCCCCAGAGGGGTGGGTGAGATGGGCTGGTCGTGTACCCTCTGTCCATGGTGGCCTTGGGTTCCCCTCTTGGGGACGTTTGGCTGCTCTGAAATCCCTCCTTTTGTGTTCTTTTCTCTTCCTGATGACTCTCTGGCCACCACGGTTTGGTCTCTCTGTGGTTGTCATATTGTCCACATTCTGTTCTATCAGCATATTCCTGTGTTTCACAAGCCCAACACGTGCACATATCCTAATTTGGGCTTTCCCAGTCTTCTCCTAATTTGATCTGTTCCCCACAACTGGAAATCGCAGGGGCCCTTTTGCTGCTTTTTTAATGAAAGGGAATGGACTTTCTTTCAGCTTTTAGGATCACTTCCTTGAGGAACAACCACTCACCTTGTACTCCCTTCCCCACTGGACCATGGTCCCGCAGGGCCTTGCCAACCAATCTCCTAAATCTGTGGAAGTCAGCCTTCCTAAAATCTAGGATCTCTACCCTACTGGATGGTTTCCCTAATTTATGGTGGATGGAGACAGTGATCATCTCATGGTCACTGTCACCCAGTTTCCCTTCAATCCTCAGGTTCCTTACTAAATCATCTCCTTTTGCCAGAACCAAGCCTAGGAGTGCCTTGCCCCTAGTCAGCCCATAGACTTCTTGAGTTAGACAGAGTTCCTCAATGCAAGTGAGGAAGCTTTACGAGCGATCAGATCTGGCTGAGTGTTCATCCCACAAGATGTCTGGGTAGTTGAAATCACCCATGATGACCATGCTCTGAGAGTATGCAGCCTCCTATGTTATGGAACAGCGTAGTACATGGTTTTAATTTCGTAGTCTGTGTGTCTGTTTGCTGCTTGCCTGTATCAGACACAGCCGACTTTGAAGAAAGTTTGTCACAGACAGGCTTTTTAGAAATCAATTAACCCTTGCTGCTACCCTGGACCATTATTTTAATGCTTATCTACTTTACCTACAAGCCAGTTCCCAAAAGCAAATCTCTAAATACCATTTTCTAGCCATCACTCCTCTCCTGGTTAATCTGTTGAAAAGATGATAAGACATTTTTTTTTTCTGCCAAGTTCTTCAAAGCTGGAAGGAGGACAAGGTGGACTTTCCTGCACTATTTCTGTTCCCATTTTTTTCTGACTGAAAGGGTCCTCTGCACACACAGAGTTGGAAGAGATAACCTTATACTTTATCAATATTATGAGGTATAGAGCAAAAGCGGTAGGCAGGGCCAGATACAGGCCTGGGTGAACCAGGCAGCTACCCATGGCCTGGACAGAAAGGGGGCCCAAACATGGTAATTTTAAAATTATTATTACTATTCTCTCTGGTGAAGGGGGACCCAATACTAAAAGTTCTCCTGGGGCTGCCAGGAGTCTAGGTAAGGTACTGCTGGTAAATGAGACAAGGCATTTAGCAGGGAGTCACTGTTCTCAAGATGACTATTATTTGACTTTAGGGATGCAATAGCTCGGCTAGATTACATATCAAGCGCACTGCTGAAGGAAATTGGATCACTAGAAACCGCTTCATTACAGAAAGTACAAATGGATCGTTACAAATTGACCTTTATGCCAGACTCTGATGGGTCAACTTCAAACCCCTTGTTTGCAGAGTAATTCTTCAATGATAATACACAGTTGCATACGTAATTGTCTACACACCAGTAAGATACATTTATTTCAGTATCTAACCTTCCCATGCTTGATTTCAGGAACCAGTGTATATAAATAGAGGGTTTTGTGTGGCTCACTCCAACAGATCTTGAAGCTCTTCAGCTATCAAAATGAAGCTCACTGTGAGTATATATAATTTTCCTCTCAAAAAAATAATACAGCACTGAAGTTGTCTGTGGCCCTATACTGTAGTCCTTTACAGCTCCAGAACCGGCAGGAATCTCAGCAGACCTGCACTGGTGGGTCAGACTTATTGCAGGGAAATTTAATTCTTAGAGGTTTCACTCCTTTGGGAAATTCAGCGTTTCAGAGACTATATTAGCATAAAGATCTGCAAATTGAGGCTTTATGTGAGACTTTTATGTATCCTGAAATGTATGCCCCTGATCTAATGCCCTTTGAACTGAATGGAATCCCACTATCATAAAGTGGAGTGAGAGGGGTGGATCAAACACTTTCTTTAACTTAGTATGAGAGGGCTTGGTATATTTTTTACCTTTCTCAAATATTTGTTTCAGATTGTGACTGCTGTGCTTCTGGGAGTTTTCTTCGCTCCATCTCTTGCTTTACAAGTAAGTTCAACATATAATACCACTCTTGTCAGCCTGTTTCTTTTTTGCTTCATGGATTTTCACATCGCAGAATATATTTCTTAAGGAAAAAATCTAAAATTTTCTTTGTACACAAAACTGCAAGATCACAGGGGTGGGTTTGCTCAGTAAAGAAATAATTATTCAGCTAGCCTATTACGAAAAGAAGTTTGTCTAATTATGACAGGTAAGAAAGAACAATGGAAAAAACTGGGTCACATCTGTTGCAACTTTCCAAAATGCCACCGCCTTAATATTGTGCTGACATTTCCAAAACTTTGTGGTTATGGTAGACTTGCTAGGAGGGAAAGAAAGATTTCTTCCATCAGTGTATAAAATTCCACACCAATATGATAAATATTATGGGTCTGATTCTTATTTTTATAAGTCCCTGTATGCTGTTTTTATTCTGTAAAGGACAGCAGGGACATATGTAATGTGTAACCAATTTAAGCTCCTTTTACATCAAAAGAGGAGACCTTTGTTAAATGTGAATCAGGCCTTTTAAATCTATGGTGTTTTATAATAACACAGGGGAATTTATAACAAAAGATATAGGAGTTTTTATGAATGTTTCTGCACATGCAGTAATAACAGGTTGAAACAATATCAAATGCATGTAATCCATTGGTAACTTAAAAGCTAACTCGAGCTCATTGCAGACATCCAACTGATTAGGCCCCAGTTATTAAAAATAACAAGGTCACTTCTGTTCAAAGTGGCTTTTAGATAGGAAGGAATTCTCCCCCTGTTGAAAATGAGTGTAAATTAGTGTAAGGTGTAAAGTAAAAATGAATGCTACAAACGCACAGGACTCCACACTTCTGGGCTGGAAAATCTGTTAAGGATGATCATACTTAAATGCTTACTCAGGAAGAATTTTAATTGAAGCCAACTGAACAAAACCTTATTCAGTTCTCACTCAGGCAAAATAGGCAATACAACTACTTACCTCCAGCAGATTCATGCTGAGGACAAAGTGAAACGGACTGAGAGCATTTCTGTACTGCACAATGCTGTTTAAAGCTATTTCAGGTAACAGAAGCAATTAAGTCATGTTACCACCAAGCTCTGCTGGGACTAATTAGCCCTTCAGAGCCCTTGCAAAGTGCTGTGCTAACAGTTAACACTAGGTAGCCAAGGTAGACCTGGCTTGGGTATGTTGGCATGATAGCATCAGTGGTCTCCAAAGGCAGAAACACTCTGCTACGTTGCTGTAATACAGTTTAAGAACAGTGGATCTCAAAGCACTTGACAGAATACAAGTTGATTAAGCACGCTGGCTGTGGAAAACCTAAAACCTGGTTAATTTTGTTTTTAAATTCAGGATGTAAATGTAGGACAGACCGACTCTGACAGAAAAGCCCATCAGGGTGTGTCTGTCGACCATGATAAGAATGTGGCTATCGTTACATCAAATAATGGCCAGCGATCATGGGTCTCTGTTTTGGACTACAAGACTGTAAGTGCAAACTACTATAAATGCGTTGCTCTTTTATTTATTTATTTTTGGGGGGTAGGTCTTTTTTTAAGGGAAACGGGTTTATTAAAGTGTATTTGTCTTTAAAGATGAAATAGAATTGCTATTATTTATTGAGAAGCAAGGTTTTGCGGGTAATATCTTTTAGTGGATCAGCTGCATAACTACAAGGAATAGAAAGTGTCCTTCCTCAAGTGTGAGGAAAGAAGCATGTACAGCCAAAGCTAAATACCAGATAAAATGATAGTTTGTGTTTAACTCCGTATGTAAATGAAATGGTAAAAGAACTGAAGAGGGCTATACGTTAGGAGCACAGAGTGTTTGTCATTTATGGAGAAGATGCTCAAACAAAATCCCTAAATTGCTGGGGTTTTATTTTATAGGGCTTTGTGGCAACCAGGATATTGGCCACAAAATCTTGTGTCCTTGCTAAAATGAACAAAGACGTTATGCCTGCTATTGATGCTCTTCCCAAAGCCCTTGACGAGATGAAGGTAAGATGAAAAGAGAATTGCAGAAATGATGGGTGGGAGAGAGGATGTGTTCTTCCAATAGTACAATGCAAAACTGAAAATATATGATCTTACCCTATTGGAGATACTGCTTGTTGGGATTTGTTTGTTGAAACAGCTTCCTCCTGGAAAGTGCTATTTAGATCAAATTTATTTTTTTGTAAAATCATATCAATTTCAATGAAAATTTGCATTTAAAAAAAACTAGGAAAAGAGTGAGGAAACAGGGTTTTTTGACATGTTTGGAAGGAACCATTCCCATTTCTCTTGTTGAAATGACATTTGGGTTATTTGTTTCAGGGTATGTCTTAAAAAAAATGTTGTGTTTTCTTGAGGGGGGTTGTTTGTTTGTGTGATCTGGTTTGTTTTTTTTACTCTGTTTCAATGTAGGGTAAAGTTTTTTTCACTCTGAATTTTTTAAATTAATTTTGTAACTCTCTATCTGGAGACAGTAAGGGAAAATAGGGAGCAAATCAGCCAACGCAATGAAAGTTTCTGGCCAAATATGAGCGTCTTATGTTTCAGCACAAGAATTAGGAAGGTCCTTGCTAAAATATTGGGTGAGCTGCTCTGCTTCCTATCCATCTGTTTTATAGTGTAGCACCCCAGTACTACTTTCACCTGTAGCACACCATGTGTCTCAGAAATGTCAGAAATAGGAGTGCACATTTTTTATAAATGAATTAAGCTGTTCATTGTATTGAATGATGTCGAACGACTGCGCCTGCCTTATCGATGTTTAGAAATCTGAAGTTCAAAGGCCTCCTCCAAACGAGGTGAGATACACCGTCTCAGAAAAGAAAATCCAGGACCTCACCCAATACGGAGAAGACATTGCTGCTCTGTGCCATGGCTTGCCTGCTTATGAGGCTTATGAGATCCAGGGTGAGTACAAGTCCTGCTAACTACTGACACAGCAAAACCATATAATCAAACAGCAAAACTATTTCTGGAATATTCAGTATAAAGTGAGAAAATAAAGGAAGGTATCAGAACCTGAGCCCAGATCTGAACCAGAATGGTTCGATCAAAAAGCTCATATCCAAAAAGTCAGTTTGATATACCACTAAGATTTGTAGTTGCTCCAAGTCTGAGTCAGAACTTTGTGGATGACACCTAACTTTAATAGTAAAGAAGGGAGTCAGCATGATATTATGGAGTGAACTTGGGACCACAGTTCAAGGATTGCTATCTTCCCATCCATGAACTGCTGCTGATTGGCTGTGTGTCCTTGGGCTGGTCACTGAAACTGCTGCAATGGGACTATTTGCACACTTATAGGTACTTAAGGTGTTTTGCTGGATTGAGTCAGATGACTCAGTACTTTGTACGTGTTCCACACTTAGATTATTCACTTACCTCATAAAAAGTGGACATGAAGATTAGCCAGCTCATGTTTCTAAGGTTCTGTGAAGAAAATTAGAGCTTCAAAAGTGCCCAGTCTCATCATTAGAAGTAACTCTTAAGAAAATGAATCAGCACATATCAGTGTATTTGATCAACTGGATTTGCTTGAGTGTGAAAAGAAATCAGTTAAACATTTTACAAGCTTTTCTAATAACAAAATTCCTTGAACAGAGTAATAGAAACTCACAATTTTAGATGCATGTTGTCCTGCTGTAACAAAGCAGGAGAGCATGGATGAAGCATTGGCTGCTGTTGTGGATGTCAAATCTGTATATTAACTCTCTCTGCTGGCAGTAAAGGAGTATTTTGTTGCTACATTGTTACCCACTGGCATTAATCCTATAGGACAGGGGGAAATTTCCTATCTGATTCACCACTGCCTTGCAAATGTCGCAGATGTGTGGATATTACCTGTGTGGGTATCATAGGCCATGATTCTGATATGCTCACATTTTACACCCTTGTGCATCCACTTTATATGACTATCAGTGACCACACAAAGTGCAGGATCTTTAGCATGACCACAGCTGTTGTGAATTAGCACGTTGTCTGCACAGATTTCCTGATGCCTTTGCCATCACCTAATGATAAACTTGTTTTTTTTCTTTCTCAGGAGAGAACTTTTTCTCTGTAGGAGCAAGAGCGTGTTTGAATGTGAACATCCTGTTCATCCTGCGTTTGGACTTATGCCTTGGTATTTCCGTATAAGTTTTGGGCTGCCCTGAACCAGTCTTCCAATTTCCCCTGTGACTGGACAAAACCATTTATCTTAGTGACATTACATCTTCTGAATATTTTACTCTGTTTTCCCTTTATGATTTCTATGTAGAAGAAACTTAGACTGAGAAACTAACTTTCAATTAAACAAATTTAGCATTCGTGTCATGTGTGTCTTGTATATTTCATTTCTACTCTTCATCAGACATAGCTTGGTCCCATGCTGAGTCAGGAGATACTGTTACAAACAACTAAAGGTTGAGTTTGGTCAATGTGTAGATGGGAGATCTTCAAAGAAAACCCAGGAGCTGCAGAAATTGCCACTGGATGGTGAATTTTGATTACAGCTAACGTGAACTGTTTTCAAACCAACTATGTAATCTCATCAGTTTTAAAGTCTAGTTCCCCTAAATTTGTGGGTTTAAATTTTCAATTCCAGTGAAACATTAGCTATATTATTTTGATGAAGGAATTCTGTTCTAGGGCAGAACAGAGCATACCAGATTATCTATGTGTTTGGACAATACAAGCAAAGTAATAAAGGTATCATCCCATCCTTTGCATCTTCACACCCAGATGCAGCAATGGAGAGATATCTTTGTAGCCATTTGACATCAGTGCAAAGTAGACATGGCATGCAGCTATTTGTGGCCTCTTTCTGCTCCTTTTGCATAGATAAACATGGCGTTATTATTAACTTGTATGCTAGGTTCCCCCTCATTGAACAGGACTTTGCTGTGTTTTACATACAAACACAAAACAAGAATCAGATCCTGTGTCTACACAGTCTAAATATAAGGCCAGGATTATATGTACAATAACAAGCAGACAATGGTGAATCTAAAGTCTGGGTAGCACCAGAAACTCTGCAGTTGTTCCTGGAAACTGAAGCTGAAGCTAGCTCAATTTAGAATGAAAAAATAGGAAAATTTAAAAATGGAGGTTTTAACAGGAAGTATAATGTTTTATCGATGGCTGTGATAGATTTTATTTATTGAGTGACTTTTTTAATCAAGATTTTGTGTGTGTGTGCGTGTGTTTGTGATTAATAAATCACTCAATAAAGAAAATCATACACACACACACACACACACACACACACCAGGCCATAGGGTTTCCTGTTAATGCCTATTTGAACTAGAAAATATAGAATATATATATATATATATATAATGTTTTCTAATTCAAATAGGCATTAACAGGAAACCCTATGGCCTGGTTTACGGTCCAAGCAGCTGATAGTTCTTTCTGGCCTCCAAACTAATGAACTATGATTCTAGGAATTCTAGCAGAAAACAGGCAGCCACATATAGTTGCTTAGTTAACACCACAGTTTTTTAACTAACCTCCAGAAGTATGAAATCAAAATGAGTTTCCTTGAAAAAGACTGCAAAGGTGTCCATATATATTCCAGATTATCACAAATCAACTCTACTGGATAGGACTGACCTTTTTCTACTGCTTGTGCTACTGCTAGCATTTCCCTATCATTGTTTCTCCAAATTTTCATTTCTCTTAATCCTTACATTCAGCCGTGGTGCTTGTCTTATCCAGACAAGACAAAAAGTGACAGAAAGAGGCACAAATCAAAGATCAGGATGAATTTTAATTTATTTGGAATTCTTGCCCTAACCTATTTTGCTCTCCCATTTCATACTCTCTATTATTAAATAGATTATTCCCACTAGGTAGTTTTAAAGCCAAGTTTGGATGAGTTGAAGGCAAAAAAAGGTTTCAGCCACATGTTAAACCACTGCTCAGCAACAACAACAAATAGACCTGTCATCTATCATAACAAAGTCAAACCCACAAAATATTTGAAGAAACCCAGTCCAGAAGAGGATTTCAATAAATCTGACCCATCAATAGGTGTTTCATTCATTTTTCTATCCATGCCTGGAGCAAAGCTGTCATGTCATATTACCCCATCTGGTGGTTTATGTCCCTTAAAAACACCCCCTGCAGAGCATATGTACAAATGTGATGCTTGCTGCTTAGGTTTCAAGACTGTTCTGACGATGACAGCACTACAGAGCAGATACAAAACCGGAGATGACAATGCAAACTCCCAGCATTTCACTGTCATTTGAGTTTACCTCAATTCAGGCCCGAAGGAACCAGCTCTTAGAGTAAAGAATAGTTACCTACTTACCTACTGCTAAAACGTGTTCACTTGTATGCCATTATTGAAGAACGGGACAGTTTTTTAGCAGCTCCTAAAACTACAAATAAATTTCTGATGTGATTGTCAAAAGAATTCAGATGTGTGTCAAGTGGGAAGCAGAAAATCACTTCAGACTCAAGGTTAGGCACTTTTAACAATCCCACTAGCGACTTTTGAAATTGCATCTTTTGGCACCTTAATGCCTTTAAAATTCTGACCCCATCTAAAGTACTTTTAAAAACCTGGCCTTATAAAAGCCCAAGTCACTTTTGAAAAGAAAACCTAGTTTTCTAAGTCACTGGCACTTTTGAAAACATTACCCTGTATTATCTCAGTGTTTTCTCTGTGTTCCCCATTCCATCGGCTTGGTTCATTTGTTGCCTATAATCCTACACGTAGATTGTAATCTCTTCAGGAAGCAAATTCATCTTTGTTATCTATCATACAGGGCCTACCATATAAAAATCCTAATCTCAGGTCAGGGCTCTCAGGACTGTGGAAATGCCTGTACTAACCTATTAAAATAGTATTCAGGACAGAATTTAAGCAGATGCTTAAATTCAAGATACAGTTGGTACCCGAAGTGCTTTTCTACATGGGGCCTTTAGGCAATCATAATTAAAAGTTTATGATGAAATAGTCGAGGTCAAAGTTAGGTCATAAATTATTATATTTTAATCCCTTGCACATAGGCCTTGTCACTTCAAATGCACCTCATAGGCATGTAACCTCAAATGACAGACAACATTCTGCCAACAGTTTTCTGAGAGGAACATACTGAAAAACATTATCAAGATTAAAAAGGAAGAAATTCTCTAAGTATTGAATCAAACTCCATGACCAATTTAATGCTCATGTCAGGATAATCAGTCACTCCCAAAGAAGTCTTGCAGAAAAAAGTGGTCCCCAGGAAAATGTGGCAACTGGCTTTGAAAATACATATGTAACAAAGAAACATTTAGTTTGCTATAGTTTTCCTTAATAAGAAAAACAAATATTTTATTTGTGATGTTTGGTTCAAATGCCACCAACAAAGATATGTAATGCCAGACCAAGATGTATACAAATCCATTTTCCCCAGTGTTTAATGTGTCTGCAATTAAACTGAGCTGAGGTCAGAATGAAAACATTTATAAGTATTTTGGACAGCTTCATGTTCCTTGTGGCAGGGCACCTTTGGGTGATCTAGGACAGAAGTTTAATAAACTGCTTTAACCTAAATCAGTTAAGTCTGATACTGCTTCCATCCAGTGTTATCTTAAACCAGTTTCAGACATTTTGGAAGTGGTTTATGTGCACTGAACTTCTGATGTGTTACAGATTTGAGCCAGTTTCGTACTACTTATGTGGAATTTCTGTCCCTAGCTTTGCAAACATTGTGTTACTTTCCAAGAATGAAAACTCAACATGTCTCTACATTTACCTGATGGCTCGCCCAACACCACTGCCTAACTTGTCCATTTGATACATGTTCAAAGATGATACCTCGGCAGGACAGTCACTTGTAGAATGATTCAGAGGCAGCCTGCTTATGTTCTGGCAGAGCTACATTACCTTTTCAGCAGTGTAAATGTGAACCGTCTTGGATCCAATTTCCACTTATCTTCTGCTGAAATTTCCTGAATCTGAGTAGCCTGCTTCTTGCTGCCAAGGGTGCATGAGTGCATTTTAGAAGCAAAACACTTTTGAGCAAACCTATCCTCAGTGTAACTGCATTGAACTCAATGGAGTTACCAAGGAATTAACTTCAGCCAGTGCTTTGAGCTCTGAGTCTTGTCAAATGAGACACAAAATGCAAGTGTGAGGCAGCTGGCAAAATATCTCTGTTACCTGTTTTAAGAGTGTTTTCATAGAACCGGAAACAAAAATAAAAGATGATTTGCCGAAACTCCTATTTGTATTTTGCAGAGGGTAATTGTTACCATATGCCCTACAGGAGGACTTGTGTTGTTTCCAGAATGAACAGAGCAACGTTCCCAACTTTAGCCCAGCTTGACAGCATGGTGTGTAAGTGAAAGGTAATTAATACAAGCATGAGTTAGATGCAGTATGAACTTTCATGTCACTCTGTGCTAAATCCTGGACTCTCTGAAGTATGTGGGAAAGCCATGAGGGTTTCAACAGGAATGAAGTTTGACCCTAAGATATTTGCACATGAGCATTACTGTATTTTTTCATTATTTTATACTTTTGATTAATATGTTTTATTTTCATATTATACTTATGCACATTTTCTGCACAGTAACACATACAAGGTTTCTGGCTTATGGATCTTCCTTATACAGTCAAATGTTTTGGAAAATTTAGGTAATGAAAAATCCTGTGGCACTCTTCGTGCAAGCAGGGATATTAATCATGGTGTCCTAGCCAAGGGCCAGCTTACCTGAACTCCCTGTTGCATTTCCAGCTGGATATGATGCTTTCTACTTCCTGTTCCTAAGATACAGTATATGACAAACATATGTCACATTCCCAGACAGAGGTGGCCACATTTTTGTGCCTGGTGAAGGGATTCTCTGGACAAAAGGCTTATAGGATCTAATTCTCCCTTCACTTATACTGGGGGTTTCACCAGTGTAACGTCTCTGAATTCAAGGGGTCACTGCTGTAAATGAAACAAGGATCAGGCCTGCAGGAGCCCAGCATGCCCAGAAGTGAATGTGCACAACTGCCATTGACTTCAGGGAGATCTGTGCATTATCATCAACCTGACGATAGTCTGCAAAGAGCTTGAGAGAGAGCCCTTTGGGATAACAATGGTATAGGACTGCCTTATCATCATCAATACAAGATTGGTTCAGAAGCCAGCTAAATGTCAAGCCTGGTT